ACGGCATGAGCTAAGGGATACAGCTAAACCTTGCCCTGGTGATCCATGAATGTAAAATGATAAGGTCCTCCTTTCAGGTGTGTCTCATAATGCTACTTGCTTATCTGTTGCACCACCAGAGCCATTACGAACTAAGCTAAACTGTATATGGATGGTCTTGTGTTTGGCCGTCTGGACAAAGCTAAGCCACAAGCCCTGGCTTAGGTGACACACTAAGCCAAACCATGGTCTAAGATCAGCACAGGAGCAGAATGACTGGAGAGGAGCAAAGCAGCGACAATCTCCGCACCGGAAGCCTGAACATTGGCTCATTCATGCTAGGTTTGGCTTCGTGTTATGTGCAAACTGGGCCATAATAACAAAAGGAAAGCTAACACTGTACAGTGTTAAACATGAGTCGGTCATTATGAAATATCCTTTTGTGCCCTTTAGAAGAATCTTAAAATACAACAGAGTATCAGAACAAGAGATTCCAATCAGTTGCTTCAATTTGGTTCCCTTGATTTCACCATTCTGCACCTTGGCTTGTTCAGATTCTGGTTTTGCCTCCCAAGGTTTATATCAGAAGGGTACATCTCTTGGTGGAGGTGAGACACACATAATAATGCAAACACAGCTTAGATCCCATTGAACGTGAAAGCTCATACCGCAGCCCTGCACCTACAGTATGCATGCATCTGAATAACATACTGTAATGCCTTTCCCATTATGAAGCTGTCTGGATTTGTTGGCAGGGAGGAGAAGCATTACAGTTTGGTTGGACACCTTTTTTAAAAGATGAAAAACTATCCCAGGGAGGCTGATGCATCAGCTTTGTTGCATCTTCTGTGCCTGAAGCTTTCAGTAAACAAGCAGCGACATGAATGAAATCTCCCAGCAAAAGACTGCGTTGAGCAGCTCCCACGTAACAAAATTTTATTTCTCCTCTCTCTCTCTCTCTGTCTCTCAGCTTCAGTTACAGTTCTACCATTTCCTGTGGAAAAACGAAGGCTTTTGAAGTGTGTGTGTGTGTGTGTGTGTGTGTGTACGCAATATGCAGCCCAAACGTATGAGAAGCCTCTACAAAAATATACACAGAAGAGGGAGACAAAACAGAGGTACTCAGCCAAACACTCGGTCCTGGAGTTCACTGCAGATGTAAATAATGCTCAGAGACGTCCCCCTCCCCAAATATCTCTTTCCTCCCTCCCACCATGCCATCCACTGTAGCTGCAGTTTCTGGGGGAGGGGAGGGAGTACCACATGTGTTTTTTATCCTTATCCACACACATACCTACTGAAAAGGAAAAGCCAGGAATGTCAGGAAGTTTCCCCTGCCTCCGCCACCAGTCCTTAACAGAACTGTGCACATTTCTGGAGATGCACAAGTGAAGATAATAATAACAATCCTGGTCCTGGTCTCTTCCCCCCACCAGACATCCCTAGATCTGTATGATTCAAACCTTATGGGTAGCCACCAACAATTCAGTGCTTTGCTCACAAATGGGAGTGGGGAGAGAGATGAGTGGGAAAGAGGCTGGTAAAGTGAAAAGAGGGTCAAAATTCAACGAAGAAGCTGGTATCCATCCCAGGTTCTTAGCTTTTCCATGTTCCATTAAAATTGTTAGAGGTTAAGGGGTGGAAAGGACTTGGGGACTGTAAAAAGGTAGTGTGCATGCACACGAAAGCTCATACCAAGAACTAACTTAGTTGGTCTTTAAGGTGCTACTGGAAGGAATTTTTTTTGTAAAAAGGTAGGTTTCTTAAAATAATTATACTGCTACCTCACATTAAAAATAAAAATAAAAACCTACTTCACAGTCTCAAAATGAAGAGGACATAGGAAGGAACTGGAATGAGGAAGCAGCAGGGTGGGGTTTATTCATGATTGCCTCAAGCCCAAACCTGAAGGCAACCACCAAGCTCTGTCCTTGATGAGCCACTAAGGAGAAGAAGGAAAAATGGGACGGGATTCAAAGGCCTTGTCCTGCAAATTGGAGGACACCTTGAGCTTTCCTTGAGCTGTGTGCACACGTGCATGGGGACAATAGCAGTGGCTTTTTGAATGCACATGCACCCAGTTTTTAGGATCAGTTAAGGGCCGCATTCCTATTTCAGTGTCCTCGTGTGCTTTCTGTGCCACGTGTGCAAAAGGTTTGATGTGAAGCATAATGTCAGCCCTCCATTGTTCAGTGTAAAACCTACAGCCACAAACTTCCCCAGACTAGCTAGGCAAGCAGGAAAACTCTTCCAAGCTAGCTGGCAAGAAACATGGTGACCGTCACAGCTGTGAACAGAGGGAGCATAAAGTACCTCTCAGTGGTGGCTGGTGCCCGTTGGGACTAGTAAAACAGAAGGCAGAGCAGCCTACAGTAGGTGATGCCAAAGCCAATGACAGGCAGGGCCAGCTAATTTTGTCTCCTTCCTCCTCCCGACTGAGATGAAGGAAGAGGAAACCTGCAGGCAGAGCCACTCTCTGGATTGGTTGTAAGTGAGGAAGGAGACAGATGGGAGCTAACTAAGGGCAGACTGAGCTCAGTGGGGTAGTGCCCCTTTCCACCCAACGCACTCGCTGCAGCTGGTACCTCTGTGGTTACCTTTGTTGAAGAAAGATCACAAATTTGCACATACCCTCCCCTTTCCAGAGTATCCTTGGTATGAGAAAATCCAGACTGAGGGAGAGGAAAGTGTGTGGAGATAGCAATTTGGAGGAGGTCATATGGACAATGGCAAATTAATGGAGGTGCAGGAAGCTTACAATCCACTTCAAACAACAGTATGGATGAGCCTCGTGTGGCTGAACTAGAGTAGTGGCAACGAAGATTAATCAGTGACATATCCAAAGCCATTTTGAAGTCTCTGGGAAGTTAGGAGCTGGCACTTTTCCCATCACCTGGGCTGAGGATTCCTTCCCCCTTTGTAGCATGCCAAACCAGCTGCTTCTTAACTGGCTGTGGCACATCTGGAAAGTGTGCAAAGTCCAGTGGGATTTGGTGAAACTAAGGAGCCCAGCTCCCCAACAGTTGCTAATGCAACTATTTGCTTACTGTTTTATCCAACCATGTCGTACCGCAATTGCTTTCTGTATGCTTGGCCTTTTAAAAATATTTTGCTGATTTGTGTTTTACTGAAAATTTTAGTGTGTACACCACTTAAGACAGTTTTATGATTCAGAGGTCTATATAAAATATGAATAAATAAATGTAACATACTGAAGGTTTGAGGGAGGCTGAGGAGAACAACGTAGAAAGCTGCCTTATAGCAAGTCAGACCATTGCACAAACCTGTCTACATTGACTGGCAGTGGGCTCTCCAGATTTCAGACTATCCCTGCCTGGAGATACCAGGGATTGAACCTGGGCCCTTCTGTATGCAAGGCAGATGCTCTGCCCCTGAGCTATAGCCCTTCCCCTAAGAAGTAGGTTATTATTCTAGAAGCCAGCCAGGTTTACAGATGGGTAGATTTTAAAGCAGATCCCTGAAGCATTGCAAATAAAAGAATGCAAGAAATCTAAGATGGTGATGAAGCCAACCTAGGTGGAATAATTCCCCCAGAATGCCCAACAATGCATCATACAGGGTACAGGAGAAAGACAGCCCTCTTGAGCATCCCTACCACCCCCCAAAAAACTGCTTCCCTATTACCTATCTCCATGCACTACAGGTAGACATGAAGTACGGCCGTTTACAGCACAGTCTCACCGTTTCTACACCATTATCAGAGCAAGAGGCAATATTTCAGGAACAGTTCTGTTCATATTTCTTACCAGAACTACATTTTACCTAGTGACTACACAAGTGGGTGCAAAGCACAACCACATTCAACATGGCCATGAGCATCACTTCACAAGAAATGTCTGGGCACAGTACACAACCCTTAGCTCCGAGCAGTTTACGGTAGATAAGCATAGTTCACAAGCTTTCTCCTCAGCACTAGCATTGCGGTGTACATCTCTCCACTGAAAACAATTACAGGTATGCAGCCCACAGCCCGCTTCAACACAGATACTATCAGAGGAAACAGAATACCACCTTCTCTAGAACCACCTGACACCTTGTCCTAACAGTGTACAGCCCTTCTCCAAAGACAAGCACAGAATACAGCTCTCCATCAAAATTGGGCACAAAGTACAGTATAGCCTTATGCAAGAACACTATTAACAGTAGACTGAAGCTGCCACATTCCAGAGCAGGGAAGAGACCTTCTTATTCAACAGCTGCACAGCAGGCAGAAATTGAAGCTTTTCCCTGTATGGAGATTCGGTGATGAGTAGCAACTCATTTCTCTCCGGCATGCTACACAGGAGCCCTGTCAGAGGAGTGAATTGGCAACCTTGGGAGAGCAGCTTATTCCATTGTTACAGGTAAGTGGAAATCAAGTTCAGCCACTTAGGGTTAGCATCAAGAGCATGGATGTAAAACCAACAACAGTGGATGAGAAATAGCGTCCCAACTGCACTGCCACTCTCCCCACCCCAACAACTCCAAGGTACCTCTCAGGAAATACCATTAATTTTCACAAGCAAATAATGAGTTCAATGGGAGCTGACTCCCAAGTAAGCACAACAAAAGTGACTGGAGATGCCTCCAAGTTCATGTACAGATTTACAGCACAACCCTAGACACAAGTCTCATCTCTTCACTGAGGCTTCTCTTCCATAACGAACAAGACCACCAGCTCTGGAAGCCACAAGCCTGCATAAAGATTGCAGTCTAATAATGGCAAGCAAACTTTGCAGGTGCAACTCCCATACAAGTCATCCTTTGGCCATTCCCCGCCCACAAGATGTTTGGTCTTCTCCTGTAAGGGCCAAACACCGTGTGTCCCTCCTACTGGGTGGCCCTCGGAAGTGCACAGACATCTCCCCCATCCACCCCTAGTGGGCAGGCTGCGCGCACGCAGGCAAGCACGCACGCCAGCCAAGCGCGCGCCCCGCCTGCAGCCCTCTCCCCCCCGCCCGTCCCTGGCACTCCAACAACAACAGGTGGGCAGGGCCCTGCGCATCGCCCGCCTGACTCACCGCTGGCGTTTTTCCCGCAGATGAGGTGCTGGTAAGGCTGCAGCAGCCCCCACAGCTCCGAGTCGTTGTTGACCGTCTGCTCCAGGGACTCCAGCGTAAACTTTGGCGCTTCGTTGCTGTGGTGGTGGTTGTTGGCGGCGGCGGCGGCGCTGCTGCTGCCGCTGCTCTCTCGGTCCTTGTTGTCCGAAGCGGCGGCAGGAGCTGCTCCAGGAGCCGGAGGAGGCAGAGCGGCGGCGGCGGCGCCCGAGCACTGGCCCCGGTGGTGGTGCGGTGGCGGCGGCGGCGGCGGCAGCTGCGGGGGGTTGTTTGGGTGCTGTTGCGCCTGGAGGTGGTGGAGGTGGTGCTGGGGGTGGGGCGCGGCGGCCCCGGCGCCCAGCTGCAGGACCCTGGCGTAGATCTCTCGGAAGAGGTTCTCCATGCAGGCGGTCAGGTAGATGGCGGCGTGCTCGTGGATGCGCACGGCCACCCGGCTGTCCACCATCCAGCGGTAGAACTTGCCCACCGAGAAGGTGAGGCCGCAGCGGGTCGACTTGCCTCGGCTGAAGCGGTCGCCGCCGCTGCTGCTCATGTTGTAGAGCGAGAGCGCGCCCAGGGCGGCCGCCGTGCAGCTGGAAGCCAGGCTCCAGCCCAGGACGATCTCCATGGCGCTCTGCACCTCGTACCTGGTGCACTTGGCGAAGCGCAGGCTCAGGCGCTGAGCCTCCCGGGCCAGCCGGACGAGCGCGCGGCTGACCAAGGTGGAGAGTCTGGCCAGGGCATCTTTGGGAGGGGGGGCTCCGCCGCCGCCGCCGCCGCTGCTGCTGATGGTGGTGGTGGAGCTGGCGACGCTGCTGGAGCTGGCGGCGGCGGCGCCCACCCCCACCGGCCCCCTGGCCTCTTTGCGCTGCAGGAGGAGGAGAACCGCCTCCACCTCGTCGAGGCTCCAGGGGACCTCCTCAAGGTCAGGCAGCAGCCTGGAGCAGTGCTGCTCGGCGCAGTCCAGCACTTCGGAGTCTTCCACCAGGACAGTGTTGACGGTGTCAAAGCTGTTGTGTCTACTGTGCATCGAGTCAGTTAGATGCTGCCAGCCGTTTCCTCCATAGGGGTGAGCCGCGTGGGGGGAATCGGAGCAGCACAGAGACAAGTTGGAGGACCGGACGGAGTCTGCCGCACCACCATAACCCGAGTCGAGGGTCAGATCTTCCAGCGTCCTCACCACCGTCTTACCTCTCCTTGCCATCGCTGCACTTCATACTGCACCAGCAGGAAACTTTAAGAAGAGAAAGTAACAGACCTGCGCCCTCCTCCTCCTCTCTCACGTACTTATTTCGCAGCTTCCTCGCTTTGGCAGGCGCGCAGAGCAGCTCCTTCGCGATCAAAATAAAGAAATGCCGCCGCCGCCACCCGCAAACGCGATGCGCACAGGCATGGGAGAGAGCGCGCGAGCGAGCGCGGCCAAAGGATCGCTGCGTCGAAGGTCCCTCGGTCTCTTCTCCAACTCCCGGCGGCAGCAGCAGCAGCGCTGGCCGCCTCGGGTGCTTGTCTCCTCCTCGGTTCCCTGACTCCTGCACTGCACTAGCCCGCAAAACCCAAGCCAACCAAAGAACGGCAGAGGCGGGAGGGGCGGCTGGGAGAAGAGGCGAGGCTAATGCAAATCGCACGCAGAGAGATCCAATGGGAGCGCCGATGCTAACTTCATTGCTACCTTTCTCCCACCCAACCCTCCCTCTCCCCTCGCGTCACTTTCCCCTCCCCTTCTCCCTCTCTCTTCTTTTTGGAATTCGTAGTGGGATCCACAGGCTCTCCAAGCCTTCTCGCTCTCTCCCACGTTCGCTTGGGTGTGCTGAGCTGGAAGTGGGTGGTGGGTTTCCTTCGTCGCTGTCTAGAGCCCGCTCCAGTGTGATTTTATTTGTCTTTCTCCCTTACTCTGCAGTTGAGAAGTGCGGGGAGAGAGAGAGAAGAGAGATGAGGGGAAGGAAAAATAGGGCCAAAAGTGAGAGAGAGAGAGGAACCCGCAGGATATATTTAGCTGATCCAAAATAGACGGTGGGAATGAGCAGCAGTGATTTTCGTTTGCTGGACCAGCCCTACAAATTCCAGACTTGGCATGCATTTATTTCTCTGAAGCAGGTAGTAGAAATTAGAAACCAAGATACGAAGGCTGCAGCAGCGGCAGCTGCAGATTCTTGCCGGAGTGCCTGTCGTCTCCCCCCTTCAAGTTGCTTTGCACACTACAGCCCGGAAATATTAGCATTCCAGCTCAGAGCCAGGAAACCTTTCTGGGATGTGTGGCGTCTCCTCTGCAGGTGAGGACCTGTAGTCTCATGCGTTTTCCTTAACGTGTGCTGTGGGGCTGCGGGGAGTGCGTGAAGGGATCCGAGCACCGTTGGCACTGGCTACAGAATGCATAGTTACAGGGGAGCCCAGATGGCGCAGCAACACGTACTTCAAAACAAGGAGGAGGGTGAAGGAAAAGAGCCTCTGCGTGGTGCAGAGTAATGGATTTGCTCGAGCCTTTCCTAACCAGCCCAAGATTATCTAACGCCAACTCAGAACACGAGCCCTCGAGGTGCCTGGTTGTAATACACATACATCCCAATCATGATTATGATGCTGTGTATTGATAGTTTATGTTTAATCCTGAGCTGCCTTGGAGGACGCAGTTCACTGTGGGAAAACTGTATGCAGGTTACATTAAACTGGAAACGAAGCACTTCCCAGAAATATCTTGGCACTGGGATGCAGAAGCTGTAGCCTTTCAGATGCTGGCTCCAAATCCCACTGTCCCTGACTGTTGCCCCTGCTAGCTGGGGCAGATGGGAGTTGGAGTCCCAACCTCTAGAGGGCTGCAGGTTTTCCCCAGCCTTCTGTCATCTATCCTTTAAGCCAGGATGTCAAACCTCAGGCCCTGCTGGGTTATCAGATTTAATACAGAGCATCTCAATAGTGCACTCTACACAATGGAACCGTTTCAGAGCCAAGAAGCCCCAAATGGAGAATGGCATTAAAAACAATGGCATCTAGTACTCCTGATGCTTCCGCATGGCTGGGAAGAAACTCAGCAATCTCAGTGTATTTCAGTGACCATTTGGAAAGGAAGGACACTTGCATGGCCACTTGGGGGTTTGCCTATAAAGCCCACTAATTAAACAGCAAAAGATCTTGCAGTGCCACCAAGATCCACTGTAACCCTACGTTTACTCAAGATTTTAGATTGTAAGCACCTTGGGGCAGGGACCTGCCATCCTGTACTTTTTAAAGCACCAGCCACACGTGTGTGTGTGTGTGTGTGTGTGTGTGTCAGAAACAGCTCCCTGCTCACGCTGTTAGCTCAACAGTCAGCTGCAGAGGTGAGCCAAACAGCCTAGAAGAGGCTGGGCAGGGAAGTCCCACAAGAGAGTGAGATACACTCAGACAGCCAGGGGCTAAAAGCACAGCAAGCAACACATTTAGAGGCAGTTCCAAGAAGGGAGAGAAAGCAGTACAGGTAACCATTTACAGCAGCCTTCCACTGCCCCAGTAAGCTTGCTCACATAGGAGGAGGGGCACTGACATAAAAAGGGCACCAGAAGATGGCTCTTTGCCAAGGGCCTTCTCAAACCTGGAGGCAGCCCTGGCAGGTGACATGCTTCACCCACAGACTTTTCACCTGAACCTGGCACACTGGCTGCCCAGGAATTCTTCTGCTCTCGACACACTGGATTAGCTAATTCGCCAGTGGGAGTGGTTGCAGCACCTTCAGGAGACCAGGTCCAGAACTAAGAAGAGGTTGCAGAATGTAAAGGCCTGACCAGTGGCAGGACAAGGGGGTAGAGCTCAGAGGCAAACAGTGTAGACCAGGACAGATACCCTGCATCTTCGGGGGCAATATTTTTGAAGGGTGAAATAGAAATGTACTTGTAATCTATTTGTCATCAGAGACAGTGAGTCAGCAGATCCCTTTAAAATATAGTTTTATTTGGAAATGTTTATGATTTGAGACAGTTCAGGTTCCTACTCTGTATTTTATGTCACTGATTTATGTGCTACTCTCTCAATGGTTACCATCAGCATTCATTTTCTTGTGCATCTTTTCTCAAGTCTGCTCCTTTTTCTGTTACTGTTTATTTTTTTAAAGAATGTATTAAATAAAGAAAACAAGTAGCAGATTTTGTCTCCCTCTATGGGACAGCAATTAGTCATGCCTGTCCCAAGCATACTGATCTGCCAGGGGAAAATGTCTGAGCAAATATTAATTATAACATGCAATAATTTTCCTGCAGAAATTCAGATGAGATTTCACCTGAAGCGACATAGATTAGATTTCACACAGCACACGTAAATAAAGAAGAAACTGACAGGAAGTTCACACAAATAGGAAATGCCACTGAGCTTTTCAAAGGCCCTTCCTAATGGGTTGGCTTCCAAAATGGGAGTCCAAGAACCATTTTTAAAAATTACAATTAATAAATGAACAATGAACACACTAGATATTACTGTCAACATACTGGAACAACTAGAACTGATGGAAAGGCTTTTGTTGACTCTCACAGCAAGAGTCCAGTGTGGATACTGTAGCTTATGTTGCGTAACAGGAACAAATAAGGTCAAAATAACAAATCAGAAAGTAGAAATGTTTGAGGGCCTCTGTTTCCTGGGATGGAAAAACACTTTGAGTTTCTAGTCTGATGTTGTTGCTATTTTATTGATGATGATGGATTCCATCTATATTAGACACTCCCAAACTGCCTGAGCAGAACTAGGATGTAGCTGATCTCAACATTATTTCCTAAAGTTTATTTTGCTCGGTGTTAGAAAGAAGTGAGCCAGGCATTTCAAAGTCAATCCATCCATCTGGACAGCAAACAGAGGCAGCTTCCACAAACCATACCAGGAGGAACATAACACTGACACTGTTTCCCCCCCCCCCTTATGTATCATTATTTGGTCAGGGTAATGAGAAACGGATTGTGGGTGGAGGCGCATCCTTAAAAGGGGAGTAAAAATGAACTCAGCCAAAGGTTAGCTCCCTTCTCCACCCAAGAATAACTAAATCACTGTAAACAAAACAGTAAGAGGTCAGCATAGTTTATACTATGGAACAAGCCCAACATATATCTCTTTTGATGCAAGAGTTATCCCCCCCCCCCGTTTCTCTTGCCTCTGATTGATATCTGTTTTTATTAACCGAAGGTGTTATATTTTCATAACTCTTGTGGAAACACTTTTTAGTCATTTATAAACGTTCACCTTATACTCATTACCATCAATATAAACTACAGTGATTAACTAAAGTAAGATCACATGACTTAACTTTTAATTGCATCTGCCCAGGCAAGTCTGGTCCAACCATTAGGCAGAGTGAGGCAATCACCTCAGGTCTCATGTGCTGGGAATGCAGCATACCAACAACAACATTTATTTATTTATTCCTTACACCCCACCTATCTGACTGGGTTGCCCCAGCCAATCTGGGAAGATTCCAACAAAAATATGGGGAAAACAACAACCACAACAATAACATCAAGCATTAAAAGCTTCCTGAAGCAGAAGGCTACAAAAAATTATGCAGTTTTTAAAACTCTTTTACATCTGCCAGGAGGGCATTCCACACGGTGCGTATGACTACCAAAACAACTTTCTGTCTGGTTCCCTGTTGTTTCACTTCTCACAGTGAAGGAACCACCAGAAGACCCTCAGAGTTGGACCTCAGTGTCCAGGCTGAACAATAGGAGTGGAGACGTTCCTTCAGGTATACAGGGCCGAAGCCACGCAGGGCTTTAAAGGTCAACACCCCACCAACTCCTCTTGAACCCTGGCCATCTACAACCCTGTCATACACCTCCTAAACTAGCCTGCTGCCCACAGGTGCCCTTGAAGATGTCATTCCATTCTCAGGACTGACACAAGATTTACCTACAAGTCTAGTCTGCCTCTGTACATGGATTGAGCATGGGGCGCCATCTTGTCTTTTGCTTCATGTAATAAACTGTGTCGGTCTGGCTCTCTGCCCAGGAAAGTGTATGGAAGGACTGGTGGCCTTGGCATTGGGACTTGCTGGTAGTTCCCTGGGTGATATGTGTATGGAATTGGCCCAAGAGCCTTCATCCTTTCCTCAAAATGGCCCTCTTGTGAAATTAGGCCCACAGACCCATTCTGCTTTGTGTAAGAGACTAAGACCACATTCACACCATGCCTTTAAAGCACTATGATACCTCTTTAAACACTCATGGCTTACCCCCAAATGATTCTGGGAGCTGTCATTTGTTAAGAGTTCTGAGAGTTGTTACAAAGCTACAATTCCCAGGGTGGTTTAACAATCAATCGCTCTTTACAGGGAACTCTGTATAGTGTGAATCTGGCCTTGGAGTAATCTACTGTACTCCTTGTGGCCTCTCCACTTGCTATGGCAAAGTAGAAAGGGCCTAAGCTTGGGAGAAGAATGACTCCATCTTTTAATACATCTTTCCTTGGCTGATAGGATGCCATGCATCTTAATTGACAGAGAACAGTCCTCTTTGAGGAACTGTTAGAGGCTGTCATCCATTTGAATGTGTTCTCTGTCCAAAGGGTTTCCTGGTCCAAGTGTGGTTTCAAGATAAAGAACCATAAGAAGGGGGAGCAGCAGGAGCCTTGAAGCTG